TGTGAGGACCTGTAGCCCATACCCAAATAGAGAACACTCCGCTAGTTTAGGAAAGCAAAAATTATCAAATCTTGTTCAAATAAGCAAACGAAGGAAAACAAAACTTGCAGTAAAACAGCTCCAGGTGTGGTAATGGCAATCCACGTACACGATCCGAAATCGCTCTCCCAGTTTGCTAGTCCAAAGTTCTGAGTGCACATCAGGATGGAGCTAGGAATATTTTGCAAAGGTTATAATGACGGTGATCACACACATACACGCAATGATGTTTGCTCACCCTGCCGATAACATTAGGAGCATCGGTACGCTTCTTTTAGCAAGATTCTGGTCCTTCCGGGCCCGCAGAATCAATAAAATGCTTCCAGCGACTACGGTAATACTCCAAACCGTACCTTCCATCATCATGTTTTAGCGTTTTAGAATGACCAGGAGCAGCTTGTAAACAGAAAGGACTTTCAGGCCCTCAAACTCACTAAATACAAGCAGGGCATCAACAGTCGAAGGCTTCAAGTATCTGTCACTAAGTGGAACCTCTCCAGGATATGGTTTCAAGAGTGGAATGGTCGTCCAATTCCCAACGTTGTCTCGAGCACCAAGATGCATGATGGGATTCAGCACACAAACCACTTGCGTTTCGAAATCTGGTGTAATTTTCGGCCACCACCATTTAACGATTTTACTCAAACACTGTAAACTTAAACGGCAGGTGGTGATTGAGGTTTAGATCCGCAAGTTCATGCGAGTATTCAGGAATAATAAGAGCATGGATTTCGGATGAGCGTGTTATGTGAGATAGACTTTCAGACTCCGAATTCCCGAGAAAGAGGGTCATTGATTCGAGGGTTTGCCTTGATTCCACATGGAAAACCTACTGCTAAGAAGTTATCGAATCAAAACCCTACCAGAAGAGAAACGACAATTAAAATGAATTAAATTTCGTTGGACTCACGAGAATTTTCGACTTCTACGGTTCCAATTCCAACTGCTCAAAATACAATAACTATTACAAAACTCTTACCAAAAATATAATGCTGCGACACTTAGCAAAGGCAGCACCACTACCGTAACGTGATTGGCGTAAGCATCAATCAACGAGTGATATATCCAGTGGCCTCTGAGCCCTTCGCTCTTGAGAAGCTTGTTTTGGTCGATTCGTGAATGTTAGAAGTTTGCGACTGTGGGCTGCTAGTACCGGACAGTATCTTGCTTTTTTGGAGATTAATTTTGGTAATATCGAAATCGTGTAAGTGAGTTACCCGTAATAGACGTAGTGCCTCACCGAACTGTCAACGCACAAAGGCCCGACGTTTGCTGTACCGATCGGTCACATTTCAAGTCTTCATTATCGTTGAGTTATGCAATTTGAGTTAAAGCCTGCTTGCTCCCAAACGCATTGACTACTGGTTGCCGAATGTGGATTTATTTGCAGTTCCGTCTTTTCCTTTTTTTTACAGGAATGGTGTAGTTATAATTTCTGGCAAGTTGAGCAGTCTTTTGGTGTCTTCTGGCTTCAGAGTCTCTACGAACTTGGGATATCTAATTGCGAGAGGACGATGTTAGTTGACGATTCACTCCTACCCAAAAGTCTGAAGCACCACAAAATTCTTACACGTTCAGATAAAGTCCTCGCGCTACATCTTGAATAGCTCCCTTGAAAATAGATAGTTTTGGTGCCGGTCCACCTTTCGTATACAAGTCAAAAGCATCAAGCACAGGTTGATTGACTCGTTTGGGAATGTTGATTTGCATCATTGACAGGTGTCGACAATATAAGTCACATATAGCTCTAGCATCTTCAAGAATAGAGCTCGGCATTGGATCATTTTCGGTTAGGACTGTCGTTGCTTGTGATGTTTCAGGTTGGATATGGATTTGGACTGGGGAGTTTTCATCAGCACCAGCACTGACCACGATGCCGCCTGAAGCGGGATTAGGAGGAGCGTGCATCACCATCCCGAAAACGCTGAATGTTTGGGCTCTTTCAATGACACTGGACCGTCTCGGAACATCCACTTTGAAACTCTCCGCTCCCCAGCTTAGTTTTCGCGATATTACTGATGGGTGGCGAGGAGGGGCAAGAGTGGACTGGTCAGATGCCGATGATCCTTTTCGTGAGTCTCCTGAGCTCCCAGGACTAGTGTGGCAGAAAACAACTTCGTTTAACCTTACAATCTCCATCATAAAGGAAACATTCTCAACACAAAACAGTCGAATCTGGAGCAGAATTGTGAAAAATTTGTGTTAATGAGGAACTGTGGTTTTACTCTCGCTCACAAACCCACACTTACAGAAAACATCTTGAACTTTTTGACCAAGTCTTTATCCCTCAATAATCTCTGAAATACTGCTTCAGTCATCAAAACCGCTGTTGGAATAGAGGACTCAGAGGACATGCACCTGAGCCTTCCTCTTACAAACTTGACAATAACTTTTTTGATATCGTAACTCTTGGATAGCGGGACCAACTACCATGGGGTAGTTTGACGTAGTGGCGTCAGTTTCTCCATACGAAGTCAAAATAACTCATTGCTTACAACTGATGCAGAAAATAATAACATAGACACAATAGAGCAAAAGGCCAAAGGGGGAAGCGTAGAGTAGAAATCAGTAGACATCGGGACAAGGTCGTCCATGATCACGTAACCAGTGGTGATGAGTATCAGAATGACCTAGGGTACACCGTTGAGTTTGGCAAGTGGTGGCGATTGGTTGCAAGCCAAAAATGCCAAATCACTTACAAAGTTCACAGCAATGTCTGTTCGTAGACCGAGCTTGTCATAAATTGAGTAAAGAGTTAGCACGTCTTTTTGAGCCTGCAAAGTACGGAATTGTTACAAATGCTTCATACCCTATCATCACACTTTCTAGTCTTGTACATCCAAAATGCTAAAAATCCAAAAAGAATGCCTGCCACTATGTATAGAAAGTTGAACTCCCAATTCTGGAAATCTCCCAGGACGATGCAATGTCCAGTTGGATGTACGCCAACTAGAGAAACCAGTGCGTGAGTAGATCTTTTTGAAACTGAACAAAATTCCAATTCAGTCACTTACATAGCGGTGACACGGTCAAAGCGACTATACCGACGACACATACCACCGCAAGGCCTACTGCGAATGTAATCCAAAAGAATGTGTCAACGGCGGTAGATCTCCGTTTGGTAGCATCTGTTGAATATTCTTTAGTAATGTGTAACACGACGGATACAAAAGCGACAAATCGCTTTACCTCTACACATGGAGTTGCCTTTTGTATTGGTCATCAGATACCGAGTATCCAAATTGTGTAAATCCGTTTGGTCACTACACAGAAATGTAAGTGTTATCGAAAGTACCAAGCAGAGAAGCTCAGAGTATATTGGTTGGTGCCCTTACGAGTAGATAAAGAATAAGTGTCGAGCTCGTCCCTATAAATCACGGCGTAAGCGGAACAGCTATTCAGAGGCGGTTACTCGTACCCATATAGACAACAGTGCACTAGTTCAAGAAAGTCTAGGTCAAGTGGCGTTCAGCAAACAAGCAAAAGAAGACACCTACAGTAAGACAGCTCCAGGTATGGTAATAGAAATTAAAGTACACGACCCAAAATCGCTTTGCCAGTTGGCTGTCCCGATATTTTGGATACACATCAAGACGGACCTGGTTGATTTGAGAATGTGTTTAGAACCCTTCATGAATCGAAACAAAGGAAAACAGTTTTTTGCGGGAGCAGCTTACCCCACCGATAGCATCAACAGCATCGGAACACTCCTTTTAGCGAGATTTTGGTCCTTGCGGGCCCTCAGAACCAAGAAAAAACTCCCAATAATTACGACGACAATCCAAACAGAACCTTCAAACGTGATGTAAGCTTGTGCTCGACCCACAAGACAAAGCAAGTTTTGGATACTCACTGAATATGATAAGGCGATCGACTGTCGAAGGCTTCAAGTACCTATCACTAAGAGACACATTTCCAGGATACGGCTTTAGTAATGGAATGGTCCAATTCCCAATGTTATCTCGAGTGCCAAGATGCATGATGGCTTGCAATAACCAAGTCCACAAATCTAGTTTTTGACTCTAATCGATTTTTTGCACGAGATTCCTGAATTCTTAGGGTCGATTGAGGTTTAGATCCCCAGTCCCAAAGCGATTTCGTGGGATTGTGCAAAAGGGAATTAAGGGAATGGGCGTGTCCATCCAGTTAGTGCCCGGCGTTGGCCCTTGTCACATTCACCACGGTGGGCGCATTGTCTATCTTGAATCTTGAGAAACACATCCCAGCACGAAATGACAGATCTTCGAAGGGTTGATGTTGACATAATGTTGCAGGACCAGACTGTATAATTCGGTGAGGCAGAGACTGTATATATCATTGATTCGAGGGACTATGCTGTCCTTTGGGGTCTTCCGGTGCACGACGATCGACGATGCCATCCTGTCTGGCAATAGGAGAGTCCAAAGTTCCTACAAACTAGAGAAACAATGTCTAGAAATAAAATATTGAATTCAATACGTATATGAATATTTTGCTGTTCCAATTCCAACCGTTAACCTCACCAAAACCGTTGTGAACCTGGACAAAAATGAGAGAAATGAAGGCGATGGTGATCTGATAAGTTCGAACAAGATAGCATATCGCAATTTCAAATATTAAGAGCTAAGCACGCTGTCAATAATGCAGTCGCGAGGCTCTGGTATCGAATTGCGGTTTTCACAAAACTGTCAGCGTTTTCTGTACCGATCGCTCACATTGCATATCTTAGGCATCATCGCACTTCGCGCGTTTATTTAGTGATATTGTCCCGGGACTCGAAGATCAACTGGCTCACAACTTTGAAGGTAGTTGGGGAATCGCTTTCTTCGCCGAGCAACGTGCGCATGACAGAATAAAGTCCTACGAGAAGCGAACAGAAGTCAGAAATAAGCTTCGCAGATTTGAATATATCTCTTGGATTGTTGCGGGTCCAATGTTAACCACTCAAAGAGCAATCCAACACATACATCATACATTGCCAAATGGAAGCCCTAACGCAGCAACTTGACTGGCGAAAGCGTCCACTAGTCACATTACTAGTTGCCCATGCGGCACTAGTATACTCTACATACCTCCTCAACTCGATAAGCCACCTGTTTGGATCGATTCGTCGTGATGGAATCGTGGGAAGTTTGCAAGTGTGGGCTGGAAAGCTCATACAGGACAGTATACTCCTGGTTCGCAGAGTCCCGTTAGCTAATAATGCCGTCAATGATGAGGTCGCGTAAGTACTGTCGTGGTTTGGCTTATACTGCATCAAATTGAGTGTGCGATCAAATAACAAAGTTTTCAAGAAATCCCAACGTTGTTTGTACCGGTCGCTCACTTTTTCATATCTTTTCATATATGTTAGTAAGATTGTTAAAGGTCTTGAAGACCAGCTGGCTCCCAAAGTCGAGCCTGGTGAACTGGAATATCTAGCACTTCCAAGTAACGGGTTGAATGACACACAAGTTCGTAAAGAGCTCGACAGGTATGGTGTCATGCTAAAGAACTACCTGCTCTTCCTTTTGAAATCTCGTCAAAGAACTCCGCATTGTGACTTGACGTTGTGGTTCAACAACATTGTGATTTGACAACATTTCGTAACGTGCTTGTCCAGATACGAACGTATGGGCCTTGTGAAATGGCAAGAGGGTACCGTTTCTGGAGCTATATTCAGTACTGGATTTGAATTTGGCACGCTGTTACAGGTATGCCCATCTTATCGTCACCAAGTCAGACTAGAATGCTAAACACACACAATCACATACAGGACACATTCGGAAAATTCAGCGGATCCAATCCCCTACATCCAGCAGTCTTCCCCGGCGTCCGCCGCATGGAATCCGAAATCGTTCAAATGGTGCTAAGAATGTATAACGCACCTGGATCAGCAGCAGGGTCTGTTTCAAGTGGCGGTACAGAGAGTCTCCTACTCGCCGTGAAAACATATCGGGATCTCGCTAAAGCCGAACGTGGGATCCTCAAACCAAACATGGTACTACCCAGAACAATCCACGCAGCATTCGACAAGGCCGCCGAATACTTTAACGTTGAGATCATCTACATCCCCGTTGACACCGAAACGGGACAAGTAAATCTCGCAGCCATGAGGTCAGCGATTAACAGCAACACTATTATGATTGCTGGGTCTGCACCAAATTGGCCACACGGGATCATCGACGATATACCGAAACTGTCAGCATTAGCACTTCAGAAGCAGGTGCCGCTACATGTTGATGCATGTTTGGGAGGGTTTATTGTGCCGTTTGTTGAGAAGGCTGGGTTTGCGCTACCGTATGTAGTGGATTTCAGGAATGAGGGCGTTACCTCGATTTCGTGTGATTCTCACAAGTATGGGTTGGCACCGAAGGGCACTTCTATAATAATGGTTGGTGCTTGGCTGAAAAATGATTGAACAAGTAATACGAGATTCCTGAGATTACCTTTTTTCGCAATAGTATCGATCGAAACAAATCAGAAAATACCAGTACTTTGGTAAGTGTTAATGTTGAGGTATGTGGATTACTCACATATAACTCTCTCTAAAGCGTCTTTTCTCATTCAGTCTCGACAGAATGGCCGGGAGGAGTCTATGCGTCTCCTAGTATTCCAGGAAGTCGAAGTGGTGCACTCATAGCGAGTAAGACCGCTCTAGTTCTTTTGTCAGTTACTCGAATTTCAACTGACCGACATCCCAATCTCTTAGCATGTTGGGTTTCCATGCTACGAATCGGTGAAGACGGATATGTGAAACTGACGCGAGATATACTGCAAACTCAATGTAAAATCAAGGAGACGTAAGTTATAGATGAATGTCTTGCGCTTTTTGTCTTATCCAACGTGTTTCCCTTCTCAACATGCCATGCCTCACACATAGCATCTCATCCATCCCAACACTAAAACTAATCGGTGACCCAATCCTCATGGTCGTGACCTTCACAACCACGAAACCTGGAGCCATCTTTGGAATACTGGCTGAATTGGACTCCAAGGGATGGCATTTAAACGCTCAACAAAAGCCAGCAGCCATTCAGATTGCGTGTACCAGTCTTACGGTGCAGTGTGTGGACAAGCTGTGTAGTGATATACGGGATGCAGCAGATCGTGTTGACAAGGATCCGTCTTTGGCAAAGTCGGAATCAGCATCGATATATAGTGCTGTGAATGTGGTTCCTGATCGGACGATTATTCGAGATATCGCGATTGGCTTTGTTGATACCTTGACAAAGGTTTAGTTTGATCCTAACTGCGTTTTCTTCGCCTGACAGACGGTTTCAAACGTAGTTTTGTAATGAAGATTTTATATGGTATAAAACGTTTTTGAAAGTCTATAAACTTGTTTACATACAAAAATGGAAACGCATAATCTGTGTTATTCAACAAACCCCGAATCCCTCGACGACTTATCCGAATCGCTTTCACAGTCATCCTCCGTCGTCATGTCTACTTTACAAATCGCCTTTCCAGCAGGCGTAATCTCCACAAATGTGTTGACAGTAGCCTCTATAGAAGCCAAGCTATCCACAAATTTTGCACATCGTGCATACGCGATATCCGCAACAGGTATCAGATGCGAGAATGCTTGGAAGACATGGAATTGGTCTTGATACCTAAACGAAAACTCAGGCGTGAGCAAAAAATGCAGGCTGGGGTTCTCCGGTATGAACTTACAATTCAAGTTTAGCACTCCCCACATCACTCAACCTCTTATACAGCAACACGGCATCATCCGTAACCAATTCCGAGTCTCCAGCCTGTATCAGTATCGGAGGGAGGTCGTGGAGCGGTGCGTTTACAGGTGAGACGAGGGAATGACATGGTGAGAATTTGCCAGAGTATATTCTCATAGCCCATTTCATTCCATCGTGGTCCAGGTTGAGGATGTCGCTGTGACGGTTTCGGTTGTATGAATCTGATGTGCATTCTATAGGGTTTAGGAGGTTGGTTAGGATGCAAAAAACCCATCGGTAAATACTGTTGTACCTGCGTCCACGAATGGACTTAGCAGAATGGCACCTCCAGCCTGCGGAATCCCCAATTCTCGAAGTACGAGCATCAGCTGCATACAAAGTGATCCACCACTTGAATCACCAACAAGCACAATATCTTTGGGCGTATATGGCTGATCAATTCCTGTCAACGAAGCTCCAAACAAATGTCCATTCCAACCGATCAGAGCACAATATGCTGCCAATGCATCTAATTGATGTACTCCAACATTAGCAACAAAAAGACGAATACAAGGAAACGCTTAAGGTACCTTCAATAGCACCAGGAAACGGAGCTTCAAGAGCTAGCCGATAATCCAACGCAAAGACGGGCCTCGTAAGCTCTCTTGATACCCGTGACGTTATACCACGATGCGAGCGAGGCGAGAGAAATATATGGGCGCCACCATGCAGGTACAGGACTATCTTGGTAGAGTTCTTTGGCACCTCCGATGATCGAACCCATTCGCCAGATACGTATCGAGTGGTAACTGGCACGTCCAATGATTTCGGTGGTGCGGTGGTCGGTCTCTTGATATGGGTGTCGATTGTAGCTGCTACGTGCAGTACTTGTTCTCTCAATATTTCGGAATTGGTTATCGTCAACTGGGATTGTACTATTGAAGTAGTCCCAGCGAATAGGAATGCTGGATATGTAAAGTCTGTAGCTCTGCTCACGAGCGATAGCGAATGTCTTCCTTGAGGCTATAGTTGAATGTATTAGTCAGTGACAAGAAGTTGACATGCCCTATATGCAATCGTACGGGATGCTGCTCTGTAATACTAGCCATGAGAGCATGAATAACAGTAGTGCTCCAATTCCAACCACCCTTGACTGGGCCATCCGTGATGTGCGATCTAACGTACAGTTTAATAATGTCAGATCGTATCCGATAGATGCAAGATAGATCGAAGCGAAACAATAGTAGCTTACAAGAGTGCTATACCAGTATTTATCGAGGCGTAGAGTGGGACTCGCAGTAAATGCAAGGGGAGAGGTAGCGAGTGAAAGAGCTTTTCGACGTTAGAGCGTAAAGGAGGAGGAGCATGTTCAGTGTTGGCATATGTCACTAGAGATCTTGGTTGACGGGTCTCTATAGTACATTGTTGGGACATTCTTGTGGGGATCTTGCTTTGCGTCTTTTGTGGATTGAGAAAGTGAGCTGCAGCGGAGAAACTCCAGACAAGCGACGATCGTTGAAGATTTCGATGAGGTGCTTAGTGGCAACTCAAAGACACTGGATCTGTGAAAATATGCAGTGATAGCTCATGATAGACGTGTAAAACACGTACAAATATGCTGTTCAGTATCGTGAAATATGCTGAAAAATGGCATTGGTGTCAAACTTTGAACTTGAAGGACAAGAACTAGCCAAATTATATGATACAATTTTGATATTATTCTTGAATTTTTTTCTTTGCTTTCTGTGAGAGAAGGGACGCTCGTTGCGGACATCAATGCAAAAACGGGTTGGGGTTGGTTCGGTTGACAACTTTCTCGCCTCCCATTTTGGCATCTAGTCATCGTCAGCTCAATTAAAAGGCAATGCCTACCTCTAACTCCTCGTCTGACTTTCCAAGTGTTTTACTTTGTAAGTGGTGTTGCATTGCTCTTTGTGAACATACTGTAGTTAGTCTGGCAGTGATCTGCAGTGCCAGTTGCAATATGATCTACCAAAGAAACGTTCTTTGCTTTGTAATCAAATTACTAACGTTTTCATCAACACTCACAGTACCCATCCTATTCCCTATTATCTCCTTCTTCATCATCGTCACAATCGTGATATGTGTCTTCTACCATCGCCAGAGGAGGATTAGAGCCATGATGGCACTTCGAACCAACTACCAGAATCAGGTCATGGCAAACAATGGTGTCCCAGTGATTGTACCACAAGGAGGTAACAAATGAACGCTTAACAACTTTCAATTGTTACTGAATTTTACCCAATTCTAGTTCCAGTACAATACGTAAACACCATAAACGGCCAAGTACCAGCAGGCACCTTCCAACCCGGTGTACAATACACGATGCAAGCTCCAGGTGTATATGTGCCACAACAACAGTACCAGATGCAACCCCAACAGCAACAATTTCAGTTGCAGCCTCCTCAATCGCAGTTTCAGCCTGCATCGCCATCATTCAATCCAGCGTTTGCCGCTCCTTCGATGCCTCCAGGTAGCCCATATGCTGCTGTACCTCCTCCGAATTATGCTCCTCCACCGTATCAGCCTTACTTTGCTGGTTCGTCCGCTGGAGAGCAGTATCAACAACCGTCGTTTGGACCACCGGTGCCTTCAAAGTCGTGATTACTATAATTCAGTGTTTCCCTAGCCTTATTTTGTGCCATACATCAAATATCATATCAGATTTCATTGACTGTGATGAATGTGTTTTGTAACGAGTGTCAAATCACTTTTGGTCATGTTTAAACGGAATCATCGCAGTGATATCAATGACAATGTATTGTGGAACCTTTCAGTTTAGATGCATGTTGTTGTAAATTGGACTGGTTCGCAAATTCAACATGCCACTTTACGTGTCGAAAAATAGAACTGGCATGACCCCTCAACGAAGAGGCCAAGGCAAGGCCTTCGCCTAAGAACAGGCAAAACTTGCCGCTGCAAAAAAATTAGAATCCTTGACTTGCCCACGGCCCGAGCTATTGAACATTGTTGACTTACAGTTTTGGAAGTTGAGCCTCGTCATCGAAAAGGGAACCCTTCCTCCAAGCGACTCTGTGAGCTTATCCTCGCAGACTGAAATTTCGCTAAAGTTCGAATGACACTACCTTCATGCCGAAGTTTGGACACTTGTTCGCAGTGATGGATCATTCATTGCTGAGGACCACTTCAGGCCAACCTGAATCTGTAAAGATGAATCGTATAACATCAATGATATTTCGGTCGTTATGAAATGTGAAGACTTATCACAAGGACCTTTACGTGTAGCGCTTATCAACAAGCAACAATCTAAGTAAGCATTTCCACTCCCAACACCAAGACTCAAGGTGCTACAATGAACGAAACCTCATCAACTCTCCAACGACAATTTGCATCAAGTTTCTCGTCACGGGCCAGTGAAATTTTGTAGCTTGATAAGCAAAAATATTGTCGCTGGCAAACTTTCATCGTGACTTGCCACTGAAGGTGGGTGTTCTTGCTATCGAGTCCTTGAGTAAAACGCGACAATACAACATTTTTCTATTTCTGCAGCTAGAAGTCACCAATCAATGCATATTGACGCGTAAATGTGTCATATTCATCGTGAAACGCATTACGTGGGATGGTCTGATTTTGACAGCTGAAGCACGCTTGCGAGTTTAAAGACACATTGTGGATAGCAAAAGATCGAGAAAGAAAACGAAAAGAGAGCTTAAATAATGTAAGCTTACACATACTTTGGACTCATTCAATCTTCATCAAACTCAGCTCAAAGCTCAACCTCTAGCTTATTGCAAATTCTAGAATTCACAGATTCACGCTCAAATCGTAAGCGAGGGCATTTAATGTCTTGAATCGACATAAGAGGAGGCATCGCTAACACGCATTATATATTGGGAACTCATATTCAGATTCACGCTCAAGACAAATGAACAACATGCTGTTGAGCCTACTGCTACTATACATGTCATTTTGGCTGTTCACTCCTATCAAGGCCCAATACTATTATGAAGAGTCGCTAGGACAAAGAGCCTTTTGGTTCTTCTTCCTAGGTATAGTCTTCATTCTGGTTGTTGTTTGATTGTCTGGCATGCTTGATTTGACATTATCATCGGATCTTGCCTGCTCCTTTTGGTCTCGACATTCTCTAACATCTCGCTTTCTTCGTTTCATCGTTACAAGTCTTGATCCCATTGGGCATAGGAGTATATTTGTGCATGCTGATATTCAAACGACGTGGTCAGCAACAACAACTCTTCTATAATCAACCATTGCAGCCAGCTGCACAGCAACAGGGATACAGTGGTCAGCCACAACAGCAACAACAACCATATGGTGGTCAACAACAACAACCCAATGTAGTCCCTCCCCCACAATCATATCAACCTACTTTTGGAGGCATGTGGAGTAAGCCATCTACTACGGGTACTGCTCCTATGGGTCATTCAGCTGCAAATGGTAGTAGTGCAAGTGGTGGTGGTGAGCACGTCAATCCACCACCTCCTTATGAAGTTCCAACATACGCAAAGTAAAAATAATGCTAGTTCCCCGTATCAAATGATTTATAAAGCAAAAGGATAACGTATAAAGTAAGCCGTAGGAACATGTATAAACAAGCAATGAATAATTCTCTGTCAGCAAACTTTGTACCGTTCGTTTCAATCCAACAGATTTGTTCAAGCAAGCGATACATCTTTAAGATGCAGAGGGCAGCAGTATGCGACACGCCTGGAGGGCCTGAGAAAATACATTTGGGCAAGGCTCCAATGCCAACGTTGGTACCTGGCCACGTCATTGTCAAGTAAGCTGTGAAGTTTGTTGCTTGCGTGTTTGCCGTAATGACACCCTTGATTTTAATAGCAACAAGGTTGTGGGAGTTAATTTCCATGGTAAATATTGTCTTTTGATCCCAATTGAACCGTTGAATGGGCTCTTTGAAATTCGCCATTCAAGCTCACGTTTGTTGGCAATGCAATGTTACTCAAAGAACATGATCATTTGAAACTGCCAACTTGGATATGAAATCCATTATTTCTGGTGTCAAATCCACTTTGCATGCCGCTTTTGATCGTTACAACCTTCTGCAGTATCAACTTCCGTGTCGTATGTGTAGATTGTGAACTAACCATGACAAAATCTGCTTCTTAGACGTGATGAGAAGGAAGAACTCTTATCCTGGCATCAGCTTTGTATGTATACTATTTTCTTGGCCTCGCAATGGTTCATTCGCATCCTGCTACGCTAAACTCTTTCTGGCCTTCTCACAACAACCCCACGATTCTCCTTGCAGCCAACGATTCTTGGACGAGAAGGTGTCGGCATCATATCAGAAGTCTCTGCCGACGTCAAATCATTCAAAGTCGGTGATCGAGTTACCTACACGTCAACAAACCACACATACTGTGACTACTCGCTCGTCAATGCTGGACTGGTGCAAAAGATCCCTGACGATATTGATTTCGAGACTGCTGCTTGTGCTACATTGCAAGCTCTGACTGTGCATTATCTGGTTACGACCAGTCATGAAGTATGTTGATGACGCAAAGAGGATTAGTTCTCTACGCACTCGGTCTTCTTGATACTGAGAGGTCTTTCTTTCTGCTTTCATCTAGTTGAAAAAGGGACAATGGGCTCTCGTTCAAGCTGCAGCTGGTAATTTGGTTATAATGGCCTGTAAATCTCGATTGCGTTTCTCACTTTTCTCCTTTTTATTAGGTGGAACTGGATTGTTGCTTGTTCAAGGTTTGCTTCGCTTAAACCATCATCCTTCCTCTTCTTTTCGTCATCTCATAACACATCTTTTATACAGCCTGCAAGCTCTTGGGCGCAAAAGTAATCGGGACTGTATCCTCCGAAGCCAAATTCGGCGAAGTGATTCAAGCCGGCGCAGACCACGTCATACTCTCAACCACACCACATGACAAGTTTATTGCCCAAGTATCTGCTTGGAGTAACGGTGGTGTTCACGTATCGTATGAATCCGTTGGTAGGTTTGTTCGTGTGTCTTTTCCACATATCATATTCTGACGAATTCTTGATCATGCAGGACTAGCAACGTGGAAGCTCTCACTAGATGCCCTTCGTCCGAGAGGATCCCTCGTCGCATACGGACAGTCTAGTGGACCAATCCCACCAATTAACGCCGGACAATTGAATGGAAGCAAGAAGTTTGTTACTGGGTCGTTGATTGATCATATCTCTGATCCTGAAGAGTATCGTTGGAGGATGAATGAGGTAAGGTTTAGATACTTCGTGGTCTGAGAGATTGGTCTAAAAACATGTTGTGTGGCATCGTTAGGTTTGGGGATGGGTGAGATCTGGCATGAAGTTCAAGATCTATAAAGTCTATGACCTGAAAGACGCGGATCGAGCCCATGTCGATCTGGACAGTCGCAAAACAATTGGAAAGCTCCTCTTAAAGCTTTGAGCCTGAATAAAGTTGGTTTATAGTAAAGCGCAGACCAAAGTTACGCGTTAGCACATGACTTTCCCTTTCAGATTGCTTAAATCACGTAGATCTCGTATGTCGTTCTTGATCATTGCCTGGATCCTTGCCTCATCTCCTGTAATGAATTTCGTCAACACGTTCAATTCTCTAAGCCGTCGAGCATCTGGAACGATGTACTCGCAAAAGCTGCATATGAATAAGCGTCATGCTGTAAGATGAGCCTCTAAACCATCCTCCCCAAAACGCTTCAAGAACTTCCGTAAAAATGAACCAAACACCAAAAGTCGAATCCATATCACCACTCCTTTTCGGCATATCCTTGTCATGTCTTGTCATATCAGGAATACTCGGGGTTTGTCTCCAAATGGCTTGCTACATATCCAGTAATACCTCTTTATTCTGCAATCTTTGAAAATATTCCAAACATCAGAACCAATAAAACTCAATTCTCGAAATTAGTACTGAATGACGATATAGACATGTCAACCATCTATCATTTTTTGCCTATGGATGCCAAAGATCTAGGAGCTGTAGGTCTTACATTGGGAACTGCTGGTGTAGTGCTGATTGAGTCAACGACGAGGTTGCAAAAAGCGACTGTGTTGCAAGAGAGGCCCAGGATGAGCTTGTTGAGTCTTGCTGTGAGTATTATGATGGGTTGCTGTCTTAGAACTGGTGTGAATCGCCGATGCATATGCTAATAATGATCTTTCTGTTGGGATAGATCTGGCCTGTAATATCCTTTGTCCTTGCTCGAGGCTCTGTGATTGCATTGGAATCACACAAGGCTGCTCATGATATTAGGATTGTGGTGGTGCTATGTATGGTGTCTCTTGTGCTGGTAAAGACACAGACCAGAATGCTAATGTCGCTTGACTTCGTTTTTGCTCGACGCTGACATCACGTTTTAGGTCGGAATACAATCAATTCGCATAATACACTCATACACAGATTCAGCAAAACAAAAGAAACGATCCACCCTATCACCACTACGATTCAAACCCAATCAGCCCGACAATGAACAAACTCGGACAAAAACGCCACAACCTGTAAAATACACTGTATTCAATCCACGACCACCGCCAGTAGGTTCAGAAGAATTCGATAGTATGATTGGCAGTATGGATCTTGGATCAACTTCGAAAAGACTCTCACCATCTCCTCCAAAATCGGCTCAATTCCGTAAACCATATCCCGCCTTCAAGAGCAATTTACCCAGTATATTCGATACAGCCATGTGTATAGACTCGCCAGATAAACCTAGAGATCAAGGACGTGTTGGAGGCATGGTTGGAATAGTACACACACCAACGCCATTCTCGAACGGGCTACGGCAACGAGTGCAGAATAATGGAATCAGTTTCGCTAGTCTGGCTGCTAAACCGAATGTGTTGGCTCTGTTTGGTGGGCGTAATCGGGGGCAGATACCAACTAGGAATGGAGAGTTTAGGGAGAATAATATACGTGGTGATGATTGTGATGATGTAGATTGGGATTTCAAAGAGCCGAGTCTCTTTGCTCCTGAGGTGAGCAATGCTGTGAATGCAAGATCCGGTGTTTTTTGCTCACCGTCTCTTCTTCTTAGAGTGAGACAGGACTGGAAGCTATCTTTGGGACCGCAGTCAAAGTACAAGAAAAAGCGCCACGAGACATGAGCCAAGTGATAAATAAACTCATGTTTGGATCTTGTGTCTTCTCGCTTAGTCTCCTTCATGTGGTTTCCGTAGCAAAGGTATTGGATCTTGTGTGGAACCAGACAATGTGGTAGACCCATAACACTTTCTTTGCCCGTAGTCATTGGACTCACATTATCATTTATATGCAATGATATCACTCGCCTCAATATGTATACTTTTGGAAGTGTTGGATCAGACAAGACAATGGCAGATGAGAAGGAAGGAAACACCTCAGCAGCGGGTGAAACCAAATCTGGCCATGTTTGGTGGTGCTCGTTCACGTGAGGAAAGGAAGCCAGTTGTGGTGAAGAGTGAGATCAAGTCATGGCCGTGGTTGAGGGTGAGTTTCCCTTCATAAATCGATTTTTTCGCATCACATTTGCACGACATTCGGAATGTGCTCCTTATACATGGTTTATGGTAGCGCATTATCTTCATGACTTTGATGGTTCGCATGGGTCTTGTATATTACAAGGATCTGCCAACTTGGACATTGTATTTGAATGATGCCGTTGCAGCACTTGTGTGTATTTTGGTGTAGATCACGTTAGACTACGTTAATATTTATGTTTAAGAATACAATTTGCATATTGGTGGAAGAACTTTTTCGATTTTGATTTCGAGTTTTGGTTCTGTATTTTGTAAACACGTGTAAATCAAAGCTCGCGAAGAAATGCCAGTAAAGAGAGAAAAGTCCATGCCGGCCAAGCAGCACGCATTCGAGCAGACAACGTTTGGAAAGCCCACATATTGTCATGCTTGCTCTAAGGCAAGAAACTTGGGTTTTGAAGATTTTTGATTTGTGACGACCTTTGACGCCTTTGCGGATGGAAATAAAACTGATTTGTTTTATAATATACCTAGTTCATATGGGGGCTAGTGAATCAAGGAGTCCAATGTCAAGGTACCGGAGCTCTTCTCCAACATTAAAATGCAGAGTTTCAGACACCTGACAAACCAACACACAACACCTTCCTTCCAACAACATAGACTGCCAATTCGCCTGCCATTTCGCATGTCAAGAAAACGCACCGCCTTGTAAAAAATCACCTCCGTCACAACCAGCATCTCCATCACCAGCCAGCCCCAAGCTTGACACTTCAAAATCAGTCTTTACAACACCCATGTCTAGCCCCCACATAAACACAGTATCATCGCCCTCATCAGCATCTAGATCCAAAACCCCGTCTCCGCTCAAAACATCTCAATCATTACCACCCCCATCACCAAGCACTCCCGATGTATCGATAGTGGCAGGACTCACCAACTCGACAGTCAAAGAAGCCATCAACATGGAAGCGGAACGTAAAGCATCACAACCACCATTGAATTTGTTGACGACCACACCGAAAAACTTTGCGAAATTCATTACGAGGGTTGGTGTGATACGAGAGGTGCAGGATGAGGTTGTTAGTGTGCTGATGTGGGAGAGTAATGGAAAGACAATGTTTGTTATGGCGCTTGTTGTTGTGCTGAGTGAGTATATCGTGCTTGGAAATGCAAAAAATCCAATATTTATTGTCTGAATGGGATTCCTTTAGGTCTTTACCCAATCCTGCTGATTATAACACCACAAGCGGCTATTATCTACTTGATTGTCAGGAAATACTATGCAAAGGCTAAAGGTCAGATTAAGAGTACATCTGGGGAGGCTAGTGCTGTGCCTGTATCGTCGACGGGAGATTATTCAAAGAATATGCAGTTTATTCAAAATAGTATGGTAAGTTCCTTGTGGCTTTTTAGGCTGTGAGATTACGAAGGGTTGTCTGATGCAGATGTGTGCCTGGGACGATGCACCAAATAAAAAGTCGTATTGACTGGAACTCAAACCAGAAGCTCATGAAATTTCTTGCTCTCTTATCTTAGGGACAATTCACCGATGTACATGACGCCGCACTAGAATACATGAAGATAATCGACTGGTCAGACGAGAACAAGACATCGCTTGTATTGAAGATGACTGTCGCATCAGCTTTGGCAGCTCTGGTTGTAAGCATTATCCTACTTGAGTATGGACCTTTTTTGATGCTCATCAAGATGTCCCTTTCTATTTAGGTAACCCGCTTTATCCCAACCCGCTTCATATTCATGGTAATGGGCATAACCCCCTTCCTCGCCAACGCAGCCTTCATACGTGCCCTAATAACATCCATGCCGACACTCCTCGTCGCTAAAATCACGTCTTACTACAACCGTGGTCGTGATCTGCTGCACAAGTCGTCGCATCCAGCGGGGAACTTGGCAGTAGTGGAAATCTATCAGAATGAGCGATGGTGGGCTGGCTTAGGATATATTCCTCATTTGCTACATTCGGAGAGGACGGCGTGGTCGGATGAGACGGGATCGATGGGTATGCCTTCGACGGAAGAGTATGTGCTGCCTAGTGAGGAGTGGGAGTGGGATGATGAAGAGTGGGGGGTTGATCGGACGTGGAATGAGGTTGATGAGAATGGATGGTGGTGAGTTCGTGTCTGTTTGACGATGGGCTTTCCTATCCGTGAAGCTTACCGAATTTGTTGGCACTCTTTTCCCCAGCTATTCAGATCATTCATGGACGTCTCCACGAAAGACAGCTGGACTTGCTTCCTTTACAAGAAGAAGGTTATGGACTCGAACTATGAAGAAATGTAAAAAGGGGACAGCAGTAGCAGCATCTTCGACTCACTCCTCGCCAGCTGTCAAGGCTACACCGCTGACGAATGGAAATGCTCTTGGCTTGCATATGAAGGATGAATAAGGATGGGAATTTGTATTCTTTGTATTTTTTCTTGGATTCTTTTGGCTTTTGCTCAAAGAAGTATAAACTGTCGACTCATGGCAAATTGAGACTGTATTTCAGAATCACAAGTACTTGCATTAACATGGAGAGTGTCTCATTGACAAGGAACATTCCCGACTTTCTCAATTTCGACCGATTTCTTACCGATTCTTGCCGATATACCGATTTCTACTCGAACTTGCGACTTTTTCCGAAGTTCTATTGCGAAGTCCAAAATCGTGATGTTAACAGAAAGGCTACGAGAGCAAAACAGGCCAGATCAAGCTCCAAACTGCTTCCTCAAACACAACAACCCAACTCTCTCTCAACCATTTTATATTCAAAACTTGACTACAAAAAGCGTCCTTCATCGCCCAAGTGGCTTCGTACTTATCAAACCTCCCAACTGTTGCTGTCTCTGTTGACTGGCAGATTTCATAGAAGCTTGAGCCTGAGCCAACATTATATGAGTTGGCGGGACACACAGAGACTCGTTGATGGGTGCAGTCATGTAGTCCTTGAGCAGCTTGCTTAGTTCCTCGTTTTGTCGTTGAAGGTGGTCAATGTCGTGTACAAGACAGGAACGTTCGGAAAGGAGGGTGTTGTATCGTTCCATGACTACGTGAACGGCCTAATAATAGGTGTATATGTGAGATGGGGTGATCAAGAAGGCAAATTCGCAACAAGAGCCTTTGCTTGAACTTACCGTCCAGACACGGAAGCCTTTTTCATCAACGACATTGCTCATACGTTCCCAGTATGCACGATGAGGGTCGTGCTTTGGATCTACTCGAGCGACAGAGTGCTCTTCTAGCGACAACCAAAAAGAGGTCAGAAAACCGCCTTGAATCGAAAACTCAAAATACAAGTGTTTTCATACCTATCGAATCATCAACTACCGACTCATTGTCTCCCACGACACTACCATTGCTCTTGTGTCTCTGAACAAGTCCTTTACGCTCATTCAGCACCCTCTTGATACTTGTCACAACTTGGCTTGGATCAATCAAAGCACCCTTTGCGTCAACCAACGCAGTCACAAAGGCAAGAGCATCGTCAACTGACTTGCATCCTAGAGCATGCAATACGGCATCAGCCAAAGTGTCGTCTTGTTCTTGTTTAGGGAGGGGAGCAATCAATGGAATCAGACGCTCGTCGATTAAAAACGAGCATTCAGATACAAAGAGTCGTAAAGCGTCTGAAATTTGAGATGGGACAAAGATTTTGTCTTGTTGGGCGGTGTTGTGGAGCTGGATGCATAGAGAGTTGTGGCGTGGGATGAGTGCGATTGCGTCTTCTTGCTTGTTGTTTCCAGGACCATTCTTGTTGTAAGGGTTGTTGTTATTGCTGTAATTCATCATGTCAAGCATCATTGGATCAATTGACTTGTTGACGACATCAGCTGATTCTTGTGGAGGTTTCCAGGTATTGCCCAGCTGTTGTTCGTGGATGATTTGATCGGCTTGTAACAACTTGTTTACGAGATCAGATGCTACTGATTCGTTCATGGCCCACACTTCCTTGTACTTTTTTTGGTCGGCTAGCTGGAAGTGTCTGAACTTGCGTGCCAGTTCTTGCAGTTGCTCTGTTATTCTGGCTTGGTCATCGTTCAAGACCAATTGCTCATGAGCATATCCACGTTCTGCTTTTGCAATCTTGGATTTAAGTGCATTGACATGATCCTGCAGAAGATTTAGAGTGTGAGACATTGAGGCAAAAAAGGACAACCCAGCATGAATTATGATACCGTGAGTCGAGTAATCTTTCGCTTCTGAGCACTCAATATTGTTCCATTCTCCTCATCTCTCTTCTTCAACACTTGGTAATTGTACTCGAGCTTTTCAGTATTCAACTGGTATGTAGCTCTCATTTGCTGTAACTGTTGCTCAAGCACTTGCACATCCGTCTCCAGCTTGATTTTCACTACATTATACTCTTCACTATCGCTTGTTCGTAGATTTTCCAGCTCATTGAGATTGGAATCTACACGGATTGCTCGTTCATCCATGTTGTTTCTGTAGGAGTACGTAGCAGTTAGTTTTCCTTGGCAAAAAACGAGATATGCCCGACCCTCAAATACCTTTCAGCTGAACGACGAGCTTCCAGCAGTCCTTCAATCTCCTTAGAGTTCTCATCAATCATTTCATGTTGCGATTGTACTAGAGCACGTTCAATCTTTTCAGATTCTTCTCGCAGCGTTCCTCGGAAAGTCTGGTATTGTTGCTCCATGCGCTCCAATAAGGTATCTACACAAAAAGGCATTAACAACAAAAGACCGAAATTCTTTTCAATATAAGACTGTTACCTATTTCTTCAGCCTCTTGTTTCAGCTCCTTGACGTATTCATCATCTCTAGCCTTCATTTCAGCTACATACTCGGTAATCAGCCGATCTTTAGCAGCAATTATACGATCACATGCTGATTCTTGTTGTTTCAAAAGCTAACGAGTCCACAAAGGTTGTGAGTTGTCAACAACAAAAGAACTGGCCATGGGATTCATCGCATTACCTCAAACAAGGCATAAGGTCCTTTGCTAATTCCAATCTTATCCTCAACATGCTCATCCAAACCGGCATCTTGAGCAGACATTTGAGCGATCTTGTCACTCTGAACCCACTTGCTGAGTCTCCTTTCAGCTTCAGCTCTTCGCGAAGCTTCACGAGACACGACACCGACTCTAACGTTGGTGACAAGTTCCATTCCGCCCGTTCTTTCTAATTGGATTTTACGACGGGATGCATCGATTTGTGCCTTTCCTTTGCCCATATTGTTTTTGGTCAATATTGTCGAGCCGTGTTCTTGTTTGACTTTTAGGCGAGCCGGTGCTTCTACAAAAACCAAGAGATGAATTTTGTTAGTTTCAAATTGACTTTAAACACACTATACATCTAAAAGTTGACGCAAAAAAAGCCGTCTACTTCTTCTGTACTATACCTTCATCCACATGTTCAGCAGCAGCCCTCGCAGCTCTAGCGGCATCAACTCTCACTCTACGTGCAGATATACGAGCTTCTCGTTCAGGATCCAATGGCTCTAGCCCATGATTAGCAGCTGGTTCAGCTACCGTTGGTTTTGCTGGTGATGGAGTTGCTGATGTTGATGCCTGTTTATTGGGACCAGCAGAAGCTGGAGCTGACGCGTCCTCAGGCTTTGGAGACTCTGGATCTTCTTGATCCTCTTCGTCTACCTCTTCCTCGGCTGGTTGAGCTTGTGGTGCTGGTGCCTCATTTGCTACTTCTGATTTTCTTGGCTGCTGTTGTGGTTGTTCGTTAGATGCTTCTGAAGGTTCAGAAGGTGTCCGAGGAGATACAGAATCGCTGTCACTACTTGCATCGGCTGCATCTGACATGGTTGAGCTGGTGGTAAGGGGCTGCTGTGTGGTTTTCTGTGCAAAATGTGGTTTAGTCGGAAGTTTTTTTTGTGGGAGATCAAGATATAAGACGTATTTGGACATAAGGAAAATCCTTCAAATTAATCTAGGACTTAACTTCAAAACTATAATTTCCAAGCTCTCGCACGTCAATTAGTGAAAGTTGACCATGACATTTTCGAAACTCGTGAATTTGCCGCAGTGGAGAACTGCAACACCGACCAAGCATGAACTCGTACTCACGTCGATCCGTTGCACTTTTGTCAAAGTCTTCCACTGCCGAAAGCTCTTGACATGAGTAGTCACCTATAGTGTCAGTCATTTTCGCACACATTTTCACAACCGCTCGCACCCCTTTGAGACAAACTTTTTAGGACAAGCAACGATATGTTCACAGCATTTCAACACTTAAACAAATATGCAACCAACCGTCAAACGACGGAAATGATACCTCCTTTCCACCTCGAATCTCACGCTCAAAACAAGCTCGCCATCATCACATGTGGTATCATACTACGTCTATCCTTCGTGAATTCAGATCCATCTACGACAGGAGAATGGAATATCGTAGCTTCTACTGGAGTAGTTGGTATTCACACGGCCATCCTGCCAGGATCCGCAGATGATGCACCATTGCTCCTTTTCTGGGAACGATTCCATGGACTGCACGATCCTTCACTATATCCACCAAACCCGAATACATTCTTACCAAGTATTGGACAGTCTGAGCTTAGTACTCAAATGACATGGAATCCTCAAAATCCTACTGCTTCGAATTGGGTTGCCAAGCATGTCAAGTTTTCTCCATTTTGTGGTGGTTCGTATCTAATTATCATACTCGTGCAGAGTCATGCAATGACTTCGAATTCGGAATCTATAGGACATGCTCAAATGGCGGATGGCAGCATATTCGTAGCAGGTGGTGACGGTGATAATGTTGCGAACAACTATATCGCAGATGGTCGTAAAGCTGTACGAACCTATTCAAGTACTACTGGATGGGTTGATATTGGAGAGTTGACGTCCACCAGGTGGTACCCAACGGCATCCATATTACCTGATGGACGGTATTACGGTTACCACAACGCTCGTCCTGTATCAGCGCTTTGACGCAAATACTTTTTTGTCTAGATTAATCATCGTTGGTGGCCTATTAGAGTCTTATATACCTACAGACCCAACCCGTAACAATCCAAGTTACGAGATATGGCCTGCTGATGGTCGAGGAAGTGTGCCCTTGCAGGTACTACGACCTGGGTATCCTAATAATACGTATTCAGTTGTTATGGTGCTGCCAAGTCAGCGGGTATTCATCTTTTCGGCAGCTCACGTAAGTTGGCATTGGTTACGCCGATTGAGCATCGGTTCTGGTGTGTGGCCAAAAAGCGCACCGATATTTCTCTTACGACTAACATTCAAGGATGAATTTTGTGTTCAGTCTATGACTATGAAGGTTGGAACTTGGGAAGCCATAATCAACCTCCCAGACCTCATTCACGCCGACTTGTATCCAAGTCATTCATTCCCATACTTGTCTCCATCAGTACTATTACCACTACGTGAAGCCAACAATTTCAAAGCTGAAGTCATGATTTGTGGTGGGACAAGGCTTGATAATCAAGCTTCGTCCTTAGGCTCACGTATAGCTCCAGATGACGAGAACGCTCAGTGGTTTGATGAAAACATGCCAGGTGGACGAGTCATGGGTGATGGGGTCTTGCTGCCAGATGGGAATGTTGTGTTTGTCAATGGTGCACAGACTGGAAGTGCAGGTATGAGCGGCTTGAACATTGTGACAATCGATGATCCATTTACCGCGAACTTACTTTTTTTTGTTCTCAGATGGCCCAGCCGGCTTTAGCAAGGCTAGGTAAAGAGTTGGAAATAAACACAGAGGAGGTTGGGAGCAACCTAAAATAACAAGGTAACCACAACCTTAGGAATCCTCAGTATGCTGCCCATCTATATAGTCCTGTCTCACGTCAATGGAGTGTGTTAGCGTCTGCTGTGGTGGTATGTCTGCTCCTTCATCCAACCACTGATCTGAACGTCTGAATTTTTTGCTCCATTATCCACGTCTATACCACTCGACAGCACTACTATTACCTGATGGTCGAATACTTACAGCTGGCTCAGACCAGCAAAACTATGATGGTTCTGCAGCGCAACCCTTCGAATACCGTACCGAGGTCTTCTCACCACCATATCTCTTCTCATCATCACCACGCCCAATTATCTCATGCATACCACCAAACATTCGATATAATGATATAATCACCATTTCAACACCTTCTGCAATTACCATTGATTTGGTATCTGCCATTCGACAGTCACTCACTCGACGAATATGGATCAAAGATTTGTTGAGTTGGATATTGTTGAGCGTAATCATGATGGTATACGTGTGAAGACTCCCAGGGATGCGTATTTGGCACCTATGGGACACTGGATGGTGTTTGTTCTGTCGGGTGGGATTCCTAGTATTGCCAAGACAGTCTTGTTGTCGACTCAATAATGCAGCTGCTTTTTTGACAGCTGGAAAATAAAATTTCAATACTGACTACGAACGAGAAAAAAGGCGCATAGCAACAATTTTTATGAGGTCTTTATTCGCTTCCAGTGCAAGTTCACAACTTTTCTATAATAGCACTCAGTATAGGCTGTACTTGTTTCCTACTGGCACGGATATTCTGTTGTTTCCATATATGCCATCGTCCCACTTCATTTCCACCGTTACTATTACTGCTCTTGTCTATAGTCTCTACCTTTAATTCATCAGAACTTTCAATTCTCTCCACAATTTCTTCATACCCAGACCTACTCCCATCCAACCATATAATCGCCAGCTCTCTCTGAAATCCCAAACTCTCAGAGTCCCAGGCAGTCATAACAATCAAGACCGACAAGTTCTCTTTTTCTCCATACTTTATACAGTCATTGACAACTCGTTGCGAACCACCATCTCGACGAGTCCATTCTTCCCAGGACCACGTTACTGAGCTTATACCTAGTTTGAGAGGCTGTCCTCGTAGTGAAACTGCAAATTCCTTAAAGTCCTTTTTCAGGAGGTCGTCGGTAGTAAGATGCGAGACTGCGAATTTGGCTTTGTGGAGTATATTGTACCACTTCGTTGTGTCGAATGATGGTTCAGCGATTATGGAGACTAGAAAGTCCTTTGCCTGGATATCTCTGTTTGTCGTTCGACCGTTATCTGGTTGTAAATTTACAGTATCCTATACATAGAAACACGTCAGATGCCATTATGAAGTAAGCCATTATGAAGCTGAAATAGGTGCAAACGTATGCAAACCATGAGTATAGGGCCCAGCATCCATTTCGCCAAAGCACCATCCAAACTCGCTCCAAGCTTCATATACTCCTCGACCACCAAAGTAGTGCACGATCCCACTTCCTCAATAGTCCTTGGAGAAGCCTTCATACTAGACTGTCCGTCCACATGATGATCAATGATTCCAACCACGCTGGCTTCCATGGATGATTGTGTTGGGGGAAGTTGATTATGATCGACCAACACCAACGAGCATTTCGGCATGATATCGTGTATGTCGTCTATAAATGTGAGATACGATGCAGCGGTATCTGTTTCGGGTATCGAGAAGGCGGCCTTGAATGCTTGCGACACATCAGTGCGTAACGGAAACTCTACTCTTGGAATGTTGATGATGGGCAGGATTGGACGATGCGACGAGCTTGAAATTACGAGAAGATAGGCATATGAGGTTGCCGAGACGATACTGTCCAGATCTTGAAGGTACGAGAAGAGATGATTAGACTTGATATGGAGCGATCTATCAACTAGCGGCGTAAAAAAAAACTTTGAGAGGTTTCAAGACGATGAAGGCTTACCGGCAGACTCATTTCCTAGAATTCCTAGTATGTTTTGTGGTGGATTCTTACGCCATAGCTCTTGGGAGCTCTTCAGAAAGCTCAGGAAGCGAGACATCAAGTTTTGTTGAAACCATCTAAACGTGTGGGGAAGAATCACGTTCAAAACAACTACACCTGAATTTCATCTTTATCGCATCCATGAAGGAAAATCCGTGAACTGTTGTGCGTATACCTACCCGTCTTCGAAACAAGATCCTGAGACTGCCGACACTGAAACAAATCCCAAACTTGACTCCCAACTTTCTTCGAAACACAAATCCACATATCTCAACCCTCCATCAATACACCAACATGTCTGTCGCAATCGCAGGAGCTGCTATAACGCATTTCCAAGCAATCAACTATCTCCACCAACCTCCAACTTCGGTTGATTCCTTGTATGGCAATGACCACCCAAGTCACAAGTTGCAACGTCGTTTCGTCAAGACTGAATTCGTCCCTCTCCTGGTTTTCTTCTTACGCCTGACCAGTAAGCAAAGTATCGCAAATGGGTGCCATGATTGGATCTAACTCTGAATTGCTGAATTAGTGACTATTGCTCTGTTACCAATTACCCTGATCGGCAATATCCTATTAGCAATCGCCCCTGCTATTTATGATAGTGCTGCTAGTGCCGGTGAATCTATTGGCGAGGTAAACAAGTTTCGCGTGCAAATCGACGCACGTGTTTAATTTTCAAACTTGATTGAACTTCGAAGCTCACATTTCAATCCTTCTAGGCCTTCCGCTATTACCGAAATATGCGTCGGGCCGCCTACTACAATCGTTACGTGGCATCTCAAGCGTATTATGCTCGTCAAAAGCAACAAGATGCTGAACGTAGTCGCGGGGTTGCTGGATCTGATGTGAGGAGGGGCGTTAAGTCAAGGCCTATTCCTCCTAAAGCCCGAGTGCCAATCCCACAGCAACCTAAATTCTCCAAGCCAATCGGTCAGAATCGTCGCCGTTCTGTTGCTCATATTTGAAACAAGTGTGAGTTGGTTGGGGTTTAATGTTGGACTTGGAAGTGTGAGGTAGTTTTGAAGAATTTTTGTACACTTTGGAGTTCACTCTTTCTCTTGCTTTAGCCTTTTTGAATTGCTCCCAAAGCATTACGAAAGTTGTGCTCAATATTGTTGACGGGGCTAAGTAGCCAAATTTGGTTTTAAGATGTGAGTCTCAAGATGATGAAGAGGTGAACAGTCAAATGTTTGGAATTGATTGCAAATATATTATTTTATGAGGGCTTCATAAACGAAGCGCATTGTACAAATATGTATATCTGTGTGTACACAATCGTCCGTTCACTTTGTGGTTTAGGATTGATTGTCGGTTGTTAAGGATGCACCCTTGTTAGCGAGGTTCAGCAGCGACTTTTTAAGGATTCGGCATGCAAACTCGTCCTTTGACGACTCCTGAAACCGAGTCACGATGTTCCTGGACTGTTCTGCATGACTATCAACGTACTCCAACACCAGCACACTTTGATCGTCTGTAATCAATTCTGGATGAGAAGCAAAGACATGGAGAAAATCAACCTTGTCACTGTTTTAACCTAACTTTTTCGACTCGCTAACAGCTGCGCAACGAAAAGCAAGCGAGAATTCTTATTGAATTTCAAGTGATGCTTTAGAAGATGTTCGGCTTCGTTGTATCGTACGCATTCGTTCTTGTCAAGATAACCAGACCTTTTATTTATATATTCCTTCACATTTTACTTCTACCACGACCACTGTCAAGATCTCCAGCATCCACAAACTCCAACACCAACCCACTCAGCGTCCCAAATCTCGACCCAGCCTCTTTTGCAGAAGCATTCGACGCCTGCCGTCTCGCCAACCGAGCCGCAATACCCTGTGATATCAGTGCGTTACGGAAAAGGGCAAAAGCAGCTGCGAAATTCCATTTCGGGATTGGATACGGTCGTCCTGCACGGTCACAGTAGAATTTGAGTAGACTTTCTACTTCGGGAATGGGGAGTGGACGGGCCATGTCTTTGAGGCCGACACGGCCGCCGAATGCTGGGATGTACCAGTACCTAAACGAAGGAGTAACGTTCTAGTTCGGATTTTTTCAGGTGAAATAATTCAAAGCGACTGACATGGTAAAGTTGGCCAGATCTGCCAATGGATGCTGTGCCACATAACAGGAATGTGAGTTGATGGTTCGAAGTTGTTGCATTCAACAGCATACCCCTATTGAAGACATCTCCCAGTCCAGCACTGCGACGATCTTGGAGGTATTAGCATCAAACACCAGGTTATCTGGCTGCATCGTCGAAGCATAGTCAAGGTGTTAGGTCCCTCGTCATAAAATCTAAAACAAAGCCTTTTCTTCACTATACCTTGTAATCACCATGCATCAGTGTAACTTCATCTTTAACCATATTTCTTCTAAACCATGATATCATATCGTCAAATCGTGGCAACTGGCCCACAACTGCGCCAGTGTCGATATCTTGAACTTTGGCTTGCTGGTTTCCGAGTCCAGACCATAATTGCAGTTGTCGTTCGTCTACAGATGTACACTCGGTTAGGCCTTGTTTGACAGTATACACCACTGAATGATGACTGAAATACTTACAAAACCCTCCATGCTTCCCATACTTTTCCAACCCAACCTTCTTAATATCCGTCTTATGAAACCTCACCAACGTATCCAGCATAGAGAAATAATACTCTTCACGTAATTTCGGTGTCTTTAGCGTCGGCAGCAACACATCTACAAATATCCTCCCTTTAACAAACTCCATAGCGTAGAATATGGTTCCGATTATACTCTCATCTTCACATAGCAGGTATGCATTGGGGACTGGCACATCACTGTTATCATGTAGGGCTTTGATGATGCGGTATTCTCGATCGACTTTGTGAGCGGTTGCAGAGATTAGTTGGCCTGGTGGTTTTTTGCGGATGACTAGTTTGAAGCCTGTTTGGTCTTCGACGAAGAAGGAGGGGTTGCTTTGGCCGTATACGAACTATATTGGGTGCAAAACAAGTAGGGAGAGTGTTAGTTCGTGTGTGAGGGTTGCAAGTGCGACTTGTGAAGTTGTGGGGTTGTTGCAAACACATTGTGTGGAAGTTTTCGAGCTAGATCACATCAAGATCAGATTACCTGCTTGATAATTAATGGAAGTTTGAGTTCCTTGATGTGAGAAGCCAAGTACTCTATAAAGATCAAGTTCGTGTCAGTGTGATGTAAAATGTTGGGAGTTTGACGTGGTATTGAACCACGATTTTCAAACCAATTACGACTCAAGGGCACTCAAATTCGATTTATGATCACTAATAACGACTCGACTGGCTACTTACGTTCAAACTTCAGGTGGTCAAAGTCATGCTAATTCAAAACCGTACAAAAAGTCAGCGTTTGCACGAACTTACAACTGTTACAAACAAAACCATCAAACTATCAGCCTCGATTTTGAACTTACTCCTTGACGAACAGCGCCAACTACATCCTCAGTAGAGCTCATATTCAGCAAGTTTGAATTTCGACAAGCAAGGGAATGATGTCATGCAGGACTACATTCGAATTCTTCAACACGTTCCTATCGATCGCTGTACGCTGGCACCGACTATACTATAATTCGCGTATTTAAAGCCTTGTGACTTATCTCCAACCAGTAATCTAACGCATTCTTGTGCCAAAAACACACACTGAACAGGTCACATCCTATAACTCGTTTTATTAAAACCCTTATCACATCCTCAAAGCTTAGGCGCATCAGACAATTCTCCAACAGACTTCATATAACCCAAAAAGTCCTCTGACTGAGGCACGATTCTATCCGCAATGAGCATAGCGTCTGGGGAACTTGCTTGCCTCAAAGCGACACGTCCTGCAATTCCCTGCACGATAACCACACCCCTAAATTTAGCGAAAGCGACAGCAAACTCCCAACGTGGGATTGGATATGGTCTTCCGACTTTGGAGCAGTAGTATTTCAGCAAGACCTGAAGAAAATTCGAGTTAAACACGTGTGACTTCAAAGCACGCGTCTCACAAGCAAAAAAGCGCTTACATCAACTTCAGGTATATCAAGAGGACGTGGTTGGTCCATTAAACCAGCTCGAGTGGTAGAGTTTCCGCTGGTTGCATACCAGTACGTTGTGAAATTAGCTACATCTGCCAGAGGGTGTCCAATTGTTGACATTTCTGACAAGAATTGAGTGTGAGCTTGAAATATTAGCAAAAATATAATCAAAGATCATTTAATTAGGAACTCACCCCAATCCAAAACACCAACTACACGTGGTTCTGTAGGGTGGAACATCCTAAATCAACATATGCCGTTATCAGAATGATTCTTACGGAGGGGTTTGGCCGTTTTGTAAGCTCACATGTTGTCAGGCTATAAGACAAGAAACGTGTCAGATACGAGGAGTCAAAGCCATCCTTGGGTTTTCATATCACTGCTCTAACCTTATAATCTCCATGCATAATGACAGTTTCATCTTTAACCATATTTCGTCTCAACCATTGAATCATCTCGTCAAATCGTGGTGGCATTCCAACTTCCTTGCCCGTGTCGACATCTTTGACTTGTGCTTGTGTTCTTGCTAGAACAGACCATAGATCCAGCTGTCTGTTATCTAAGTCGTTGAAAACCGATAAGAAAAACTGTTGGCAGAGCCAAAAAATCAGACTCCTTGGCTCGATGATAGGACTCAATAACGTACAGAATCCACCATGTTTTCCATAATCTGTGAGGCCGGCCTTCTTGATATCGGTTTTGTGGAGACGAGCTAGTACGTCCATCATTTCAAAGTAACTAGGAGAGACATATTAGTACTGACATCTGTACATTTTGAGAAGAAATTATAACTTACTAGGTTTCTCGCATTTTTAGAGGGACGGCAGGAAGGTGTATGTCTATGAATACTCTTCCCTTTGTGCAGGAAGAGTGAGTGATCTGCTGAGTGACGTGCTATTTTCGAATGATGTCTTGCAATGCAACTCTTGTCCCTTGCAAAGTCACCATTCCATAGCAAATGCAAATATTCATACCTCCAAGAACTCCATAACCTAAAGAACAAGGAAGCTTTGAGAATTTGTGGGCAAACAAGAACAGCTTTCCAACGTGCCAACATACGTAGAAGAAAGTCCCAACAATCGATTCGTCCTTGCATAAGAAGTATGCACGAGGAACAGGCACAGTTGAGTTACGATACAGAGCATCAATGATTTTGAATTCTCGTTCGACTTTATGCGCTGTTGGGCTAGATTAGATGTTGATGGAGTCTCATCAGAATTTGTGACTAAAGCCGGAGGAATCTGATTGCGAATACTCTTGTATAGTAGAGCAAATCAAGTACCTGATGAGTTTGCCTGGTGGTTTCTTCCTCATGACGTATTTCTTGCCATCCTAAAACGTTGGTGTGTGTGGTATGAGTTTGCAAGGAAGGCAAATCCAGATATAGAACGAAGCATGGTTTCGAACGATACATGTTATGCTTACGCCTGCAGTCAAGAAGTACGTAGGGTTGGATTGGCCAAAGTTAAATCTGATTGATTGAAAGAGAAGTGTTGATGGGTGTTTGATGTAACAAGATCCAAGCGTTTTCAACGTACTGTTTTACTTGTAGTGGCGCAACGAAGCCTTCTAAATGGGCTTTTAGATAGTTTTCCAGCTTGCTCTCATCGAAAACGTGCCTATTGTGCAGCAATGTTAGATTCAAGAAACAATTTTGGACGCTTGCTCAAGAAACGGGAATTGTCGCAAATCAGAGAGCAAGAATACAGACTTACGCTGCGCGAACCGCCGTGGTGCCGCCTCCTAATCCGTGTTCGTCTGCCATGGTCGAGTTGGATGATGTCAAATACCGAATTCTCAACAAAACCTAAGGTGAGACAAGAGCTGTCCGTAAATTCGAGCATTTTTGAGCTTGGGGAGACGCCGCAGATCTGTCAATCATAAAGAATCAAACATAGGATTGTAAGAGCTTGCCACCGATCGCATTACAATTAAACGTGGAAAGATGAGTTTGTCGAACAAAGGCACCAACATTCACGGCCAGGCAAGCAACTTGAAAGAGAAGCATCCATTCTTTGTATTTCCAACCGAGACCTTAAAACTATAGGAATCTGGTCAGATAAGGTACACTTTGGCAACGAACCTTGAATGACATCACAACTACAACACGAACAACCGTTGCCTTTTTTTGGCTCACACACTTCTTACAGGCATGAAATCGATACCAAAAAGCTTGGACACTACATGAAAGCACGCATCCCAGAACTGTCATTGCCATTAAGTGTTGCTCAATTCAAACTTGGGTATGTCATGTTGTCGCAGTTCTAAGTTGTCAACCAGTCTGACAAACTGTTTTCTATCCTATAGACAGTCTAACCCAACATACTACGTCTCTGATGCCTCTTCAAAGAAATACGTCGTAAGAAGACGTCCACCGGGAAATCTTCTGTCACAAACTGCACATCGTGTGGACCGAGAGTTTAAGGTCATTGATGCTCTGTACAAGCATACGAAGGTGCCTGTGCCGAAAGTATACTTTCTGTGTATGGATAAGAGTATTCTTGGGACTGAATTCTATGTCATGGAATGTGAGTATCGACTGTTGGTAGTGTTTTTTCCCAGTTTGTCGAGAATGGCACCTCGAAACACTCCCCATCTAAACGAGGTTGACGTTGTCTCAAACCTTAGTCAAAGAAGGCCGTGTTTACCCAGACGCCTTATTACCTGACCTCTCATTTGACCAGCGTCGAGCCCACTACCACGGAATCTGTGACGTCCTCGCGGCACTTCATAAAGTAGACGTCGATGCAGTCGGTCTAGGACAATATGCAAAGAGATCGGGCTTTTACGAAAGACAGATAAACATGTGGAAGGGTTTATCGTCTGTCCAGGGAGCAACTAAGGACGTTGAGACCGGAGTTCCTGTTGGAATGTTGCCCAGATTTGACGATATGCTAGCGTGGTTTCAAAAGAATCTGATAAAGGATGAGAATTGTTTGATTCATGGAGATGCCAAGTCTGATAATTTGGTATGAAAGGCTTTTGATGCTGCGTTTTTTGTTGTGCTTTGTGCAAAAAGGCAAGACGTTATCCTTTCATGCATATGATATAACCTCAGCCTCGTTCTAGTAGATGTTCGATCCTAAGAAACCAGTCATTATCGCCGCTCTCGATTGGGAGATGTCAACAGCAAGTTCCCTCTACTGCATTACTTTATTACATGACCTATTTTTTTACTAACGCCCATCTACTCAACAACAATAGTTGGGTCATCCACTATCGGATGTAGCAAACACCTTCCTGAACTGGTACCTCCCACAAAGCCTAGGAGGCTACCTAGACCTTCCGAGACCACTTCCTGTTCCCGAAGCGGACGAGTTGATTGAATACTATTGCAAGCAAGTCGGGCGTCCGTTCCCCATACCGGGCTTCTCGTTTGCTGTAGCATTTGCTATATTCAGAGTAAGTGTGGTTTGTGAAGAGTGCCTGGCAAACAGTTCATACTGATGTAGATGATGGCTTTTTTTGTATCCTCGCAGTAACTATACTGAGTATTCGTACTATAACTAACATTCTCTTCCTTCACATTCTAGTTGGGAGTAGTCTTCCAAGGAATAGCAGCTAGGACTGCCCTGCGACAAAATTCTTCAGCCAACAATGCGGCCGGCTTAATGTTGCCTGTAGCCAACTTGATCTTGGAGATTGTAGACACTGGTAAACTGCCTAGTGGGCAAAAACAGACAACAACACCTAAACTTTGAAAGGAACGCAAGCACTTGTTATAATCATCCCTTTTCAATATAAACGGTTTTAGTTTGGAAAAGAAGATACTGTTCTGTAATAGACCTTTGTGAGAAGTAAGTTTCAAGTTAATTATTTCTCGTCTATCGCGCTGCAACAGCAACCCGAACCTATCGTGGAGATCAAGTTTTGAGATCTTTATATACAATAACAACCTTCAAAGCCCTGTTGTTTTTACAACACCAGCTTTCGTTTGTCAACCTTTTCTACAGTACCCTACTTTATAGCCGCTCTTCACCTCTACATTTTCACCTTTTTACAGCAACCTTTGTCGTTTGTTATTCTTTCTATACATCACTTAGGCAACTCAAACACCTCCTTCGCGGTTCTTTGTAGCACCTTTAGCCACTTCAGCATCTTTGCGTTTCTTATCACGTAATTCCAACAAGTACAGACTAAAAAGGTTGGAACAGTGTTGTTAGAGTAACTACCTAACGATTCAACGAGGCACCTAAGCCATTTGAAGGAGCACATTGAAAGGCATACCCAGTAGTAACATAGATGGAACTGGAAGAATGAGTAGCAAAGGAATCGACTTTGACGCCCAATAAGTCTTTTGCGGTGAGGTCAGAGTCCTTGAATAGGAGAACTCGAGCGATATTGACAAGCTTTAATTCTTCAGCGAATATGCGTTTGACGATGCATTGCTTCAAATCCTCGACGATACCATCGGATCGAACAAATTCACGTATTGGATCAGACGAGACCAGATCGTCCGCTCCCAAGATGAGGTGGAGCCATACACTTGTCTCTGTTTGATCAGATGGTGCTGTAGTACTCTTGTCACCTCTGGCATGCGCAATATCATCGAGAATTGATTCGTATATGTTAACAACTTCTACCATCACATCATTCGGGAGAGCAACGTCATCTAGCTATTCACTTCAATCCCTTTCAAATCCCACACAGGTACAGAGACACAATGCATACCTATGCGAATACCTTCCTGATCATGATGATGACCATCTTACTTAATGGTCCCACATCAGCATCGTTCTTCAACTGTTGCACAGCAAACACCAAGGTCCGTCTGGTATCATTCACATCAGCAAGAATTCGGCAAATACACTATTGTCCAGCTGATACGATTTTTCTGGCACTTTGAAAGCTGACCACTGAGTAAATTGTGGTGGAGGGATTCACTATGTGGCGAGTAGTAAGTACACAGTATCATGAAGCACGAATATCCGCCAAACTCTGAATCCCATGAGAGTCAACACAGTCTACACACCAACTACCAACCACCAGCAAACACCACAATTCTGCAGGTGTTGTCTAGCTCGATCAGTAGCTTTTTCCCCAATACATATTCCAGTAGTCTATGCGGCATCGATCTGTAAGAGCTCTGTTTCTTCAAACTTTAAAACGATACGTTAACCCAACAATCAAAAACAAGTGATCCCATATGGTCTTTAACACTTCAATCCGTGTTTCTTAAAAAGACACAAAAAAACATGTATATACAATCTCCTTTGCAACAGAAGTCCAATTCTCCAAAATCTAAGCCAGCGCACCACAAATTATAATACCGAGAGAGCTCACGACCCTTCTCTCTCCCTTGAATCCTCCATTTTTGATTTTCTATACAGTTGGCAAATGCTAATGATGGTTGCCATTCCCATTCAACACACCATTACCACTTTTACCATTACCAACAACAGCACCATTTTGTTGAGCTCGATCAGCAGCTTCTTCTTCAAGGGCCTTTTCGGTGTGAGCGTCGATATCTAGAGCGTCCCATGGATATGCGAGCCAGATATCTTCATGCTCTTCAGCAGCAAAGTAGTTTCCGTTCATGATATATTCGGGGAGTGTGCCTTCTTTCTTTTTCATCTTGTTGTGGAGGACGAATACGCCTGCGTTGTAAGTGGGGTTGAGTTAATGAAGCGAAAAAAAGCAGTTTTGAAATTCGCAAGCTTCAACAGTTCACTTCAATCTGCTCCCCAATCTACACAAAGATACAACTAAACATACCTATACGAGTATCAGGCGCAACCTGACCAGGATGATCAGCCTCCCACTTGACCCTCTGCATATCAGCATCCTTCCTCAACTCTTGCACAGCAAATCCCAACGTCCGTCTTGTATCATCCACCTCATCGACAATCAATATACTCTTTCCCAGCAGATTAGAGGGCGTCGACACCTGGTAATCCAGCCATTGTGTCTTTTGGACTTCCGGTAGAGGGGATTCAGTATCCGGCGATTCTTCAGAGGATGCATAGAGAGCTAGCCCGATAGCTTGGATGGGGACGTTGCGGTTTAAAGCTAGTTTTAAATAGGTTCTCATGATGCGGGCGGGGAGGAAGCCGCCACCTCCGATTGCGACCAGAATGTCGGGTTTGAAGTCTGTTGCGAGATTGAATCTGTCTACTGATTCCTATTGTAAGGAAATAAAATTAGATTGCTGTTTAAGAGTAGTATAAATATGATTTGGATTGTAATTGGGTCTGTTGCAGCATTGTGGGGCTTCCTCTATTAGACCAACTTTTTTTTTTTTCGTTTACGAAAACTTTCAGCATACTGAACAACTTGCCTTGACGAGTCTATGGCACTTGTTATAAGAGATATGGTGCTTTCGCTTAGATGGCACAGGACTGGCATCCCTGATATCAGTTGGCCCCACCATCTCAGAACTACCAATTGTTGGGGTTTTGGGACGGAAATGCGAAGTGTGCATGTGTTTTTGTGAGAGTGCATGTTATGGTTCAAATTACAAATTGTACGTGAATTATGGTATATATAACGTGTAAATCACGTTGTTCGAGACTCTTTTCTTGCTTGATATGAGGCGTGGAGTTTGTAAACTATAAAAGATGAGTTATAAGTACGGTGTAGATCATCGTTCGTCACTGAATCGCAGTTCGACACTGCATATATCGTTCGTCACTGAACATAAAGCAGTTAGACAGTGCATATGACATAGTTCCGCAACACATAGATAGACTTTTCCGCAACACATAGATACGCATTCAACAACCCTCTGCTACAGAGCTAAACGTTCAAAATTTCTGCGCTGAACATGTGTACTCACCTACAAAGAATGAAAAGGCCGCTCCCATGAAGCCTATACTCAGATCGATGTGAGCATATAACAAAATACCCCGAAGCGACAATTGATGCATAGAGATCAAGCTCTCTCACTCACTAAACAATGAAGCCCTCAGATCACTGTCTATCTTCCCCATCCTCTCGGTAAGCTTCTTAATCTCAAAATCAATCTGTTCATTGACAGCAACAATGTCCTTTGACACCACTTCAGCTTCAGTCTTGACTCTACTCTTGTCAAGACTGATATCCAGCCTTATGCCCCCATGGACACGATTTACTTCTTCTTGTATGATTGTTCTTAGCTTGTCTGTATCAGCTTTTATCTTTTCTAGCTCTACTCGAAGAGAGGTACTGTCTCCTGATTCGACTATGGTAATGTCTTTACGCAAGTCCTCGAATTCGGAGGTGGATTCGGCCACAGCTTCCTCGTGAGATGTCTTTTTCACCATGTTTCGCGTTACGCCATTGAGACTACATGTTGAGTGTACATTATGTGAGAAGCAAATCATCCGTAGACTACACGATGAACGACTCCATACCTCTCTTGTATGGCTTCAGAGACGAGACTGATGATTGCTTCAGCCTGTTGAGGAGTGAAGTCTTCCTTGACCATCATGGCCACGTATCTCTGAGAATCAAAGTGACGTTCCAACGATGTATTACTGGTAGTACTAGTGGTAGCAGGCACGTTCAACGTGGGATTACTAGAAGCCACATTACTGGATGACGTGGTATTACTGAGTGTTGATATTGGAGTTGTGGTCGATTGGATTGGATCACTCGGAGTTGATGTTGGCGATTGTGATGGAATGGGAGATGGAATGCGAGTACTTGATACTTGAGTATTGTTTGCATATGGTAATGGATTGTCATCTACTAGTTTTCCTGTCTCTACTATAGAAATTTGATGCCGCAGCAGCACAGTCGACCTTTGAGCGAATGTACGAGTACGAGTTGCCACGAGTAAGACAGATCTAGATGCCAAAGAAGTAATCATCATTTGTAGCCAAATACCGTGTTAACCGCGTAGTTCATCCAGAGTCTCGCAAAAAATCTGCGAGAGGTTCTTCGCAACAGCTCGACCTTCGTTTCCAACCAACATTTAACAATTAATCAATCCCCTCACAGATCACAACAAGAAGGTATAGAAAACAAGACAGAAATAACTCGATACGCGTCATACTAGCTACGATTTACTAACCACCGTTTAATTATCCCCATCCTCTAGTGTATAAAATGCCAGTAGTTCCGAGTGAAAGAGGCATCAATATCTACTCCCGCCAGGCATACGTCCAGCAGGCTGAATTGTCAGACTCGGACGACGACGACAATAACGACAACCACGATGAATTCACCCACGACGATGCCTCGGATGGACCCATAGACGATCCTCATCAACAACCAAAGATCATTGCTCCTCATCTGTCCCACATCCCATACAAGACAAACAAGAGCAGGAAACCCGCCAGTCATCTCCTATTGTGAGTATTACTGCATATCCCGTCGCTTGGTGTGCTTTGGTTATCCATCTGTCGCAACTTGCAACCAAACTTGGATGAAGTCTCGCAACACACGCGTTTGTATCTAAACAAGAAGGGAGAGCGCTAAAAAGATCCATATGCTTCTCCTTGCTTTGGTGAACTATATGGAGATCTCGAAAGGTTGCAAACTACCAAAATCCCGCTAAGCTAAACTCTCTTCTCATTCATTCAGCAAAAAACAGGATCTCCAACGAGTTGCAAACCATGGAGTCAAATTGGTGCCCGTCAAATTGGATTTGGAAGTCGATGGCATCAAACTCAAGGACCAATTTACTTGGAATGTTCATGGTAGGAACATGCAAAAAAACCAAGACTACATCTATGTATCCCCAATTGCTAACCCCATTACACACACTGATGCATAGAAGCCCACATCACTCCAGAACACTTTGCAAACATGCAGGTTCAGGACATGGATGTTCCAGAAGCTGTTGCCAAACAATTCGCACCAATGATTGCTAGTGCCATTCGTGAACAAATCAGAGAGCTGGCTACTGCTGTAGAAGATGAAGACGCTCATTATCAAGTTGATGATACTGAGCGTATTATTGTCAAGGTACAAAACGCATGGTTTTGCACCGACAAAGTGATGCATCACCCGCGTCAACTTTTTTTCTTGCTTTATCTCACTCTCTCTTACATATAGCTGGATTTGAACGTTGGAAACCTCCACTTAACAGACCAGTTCGAATGGCCACTCTTCGCAACTTCTCATTCATCACCAGAAGATTTTGCCAAACAATTATGTGCAGATCTCGGTATCGGTGGTGAATTCCAACCTGCTATAGCCCATTCGATACGTGAGCAAGTTGCTCATGCTCGTCTGGCATTCGAGTCGGCTCCCAAGCCTCTGCCTTTTGACCGACTTGTATCTGCACCTGTTCGTAATGAGGGTACTGAAGTGTTATGGCAGCCTACTTTGCAGGAATTGACTGAAGAGGATATCGAGAGGTTGTCAAAGGAGAAGGAACGCGAGAACAGGTGAGCAGTAGGAGAGAGAAGTGTTTGAGAGAGTGTGTGGGTGAGAGTTACAGTGACCATCGCCAGTGATGTTTATCGTTGCTCCGTCCCGGAGCGTATTTTCTGGCTGTTACACTACCACGTCTCAAATTATCATTGCTGTGATGCTCATGTACGCCTTTTCCTTAGACGAGCACGACGAAACCAAGCTCGAGTCACTCGAACAACAACCAATTCAATGGCCGCAGCCATGACCAACTCTGCCTTCGACAATATGAGAGCAACCCGAAACCGTATGATGATGCCTCCTCAAAAAGTCCCCTACCAAAACTATATGCCCAATGAAGAAGAGTTACGTATTCAAAGGGAACACGTCCACAAATACCTGCCGACTCCATCCCCAGGTCTCGACATGCAAGAGCATCCTATTATAAACAACACGTCATCACCTATGCCCATTTCGTCGTCAGTTGACAGAAATGGTCCAGTACAACCATTACAAGATGAATCAGCCCACCACCATCACCATCATATACACCAGCAGCAACAACAGAATGAGATGATAATGCCACCGAATTTTGGCTTACGTCAACCGAATAATAACAACGGTACCATACAACAACAACAAACACAGCAACAACAATCGGCCTCATCATCTCAACCAATGGCCTATTTCCAATTCCAGCAATCACCATTTGCACCCTTCTCCCCATCATATCCATCTCCACCACTGCAATACGGAGGCCTGTCACTGATTCCATCCATGTTTGGAAACATGAACGGATCACTCCCTCCCCAGCTCTTGCACATGCCAATGAATCCTTACACTATGTCGCAACAAGCCTCAATACACGATGCTGCATTAATGCAACAACAGTCACATTCTCAACACCATCAACAATTGGGACCACCTAAACCCAAAAAGAGCAACAAGAGAGCATCACCTATTCCCGTTGATACTGAATTGTTGGCTCGACAGTTGGTATTGCTGACTGCTAGCAACAATGGGCATGGACATGGTGGACAGTCGAGTGGTGGGTCTGCGACACCCAGTCCTACCAAGTTTGATGCTGATGGTGCACCGCTGAAGAAACATCGTGGGTTTGGTGCTAGTGCGCAAATGTTTAATGCCGATGGAAGTATTGAAGTTGGAGGTAAGCACAGTAGGAGCGAGAATACAAGATTTGAACGACCATGTTCGAACGACAGTGTTTGAGAATATCGCAGTGCCTCATTTTTTTGCATGGGTTGACTAAATACAGCTGAACTGATATCTAAACTCTTCACTCTACTACTAGAATTCCGTAAAAACTGGAAATGTAGCTGGTGTTTCTTGTCTGGCAAGTTCACGCCAACGCTGCGTAAAGGTCCTCTTGGAAGCAAGGTACATACAAATCGAGTCATGTTCTTTGTTTTTTTTCGGTTGGCTAACCTGATTCGCTTCCGCTATGGCTAGACCCTTTGCAACGCCTGCGGTATTTGGTTTAGCAAACACGGTAGTCTTCCACAGGAGAGGTACCATGAACATTATGATGTTTGAGGGAGATGAACGGATCTATGCAACTGATCCTTGGACTTATTTTGTAAGTATCCGATCCACTTGTGACATCGCTTTTTTACGGCGTCGAGGTTGGAATGCTGACTCGTTCTGTTGCTATTAGATTCGAAAATTCCGACCTCTAAAACTGCTCCCCGGCATCATCATTTAACCTCAACCGACAAGAAATCAAAAATCGAATTCAATACAGATAAGAAATTTGTTATCTTAGATTCCAAGAATGTAAGATGAAATAACAAAATGAAACAACCAAATATACAATTTTGAAAACGGGCAAAATCTATCCTGTGGCTGTCTGGTAAAGGGATTTCTTGAGTAGAAGCGCGCTTTTGGTTGGTGAGATGAAAGAACTACGACGTGATATTTCGAGCTTAAGAGACTTTCGCCAGTCTCTCTTCACCTCGCCCACGTTCAAGCGAAGTGACCAGGCATATAAGTCATTGAAGTCCCCCTCAAATTAGGCTTGCATCCGGATGGGATGATTTTCGCCATCCCATCTTATCCTATCTAACACAAAGAAAGAACACTGACGGAGGATCAAACCTGACACGTAGTGTCCTGAACCGAGTTTTAGCTTATAAGCCAAGTGTATGTAGATATAGACAATGAAAATGAATATAATAATATGCATATAATATACTTCTCTCCTTTCTCCTTTAGCTTGTAAGTCAAGATTTAGCAAGATGAGTTCACAACTTTTCTAAACCTTACTTTTGTACCTCGGTTCAAGTTTGACAGCCGACGGTGATTAGGTTGACAGATGGATTTTAATATAGATTTCATTTTGACATCATCACATGCTTCATTCACTCTTCTTCTTGTTATACGCATTTGCGTTCTGTGCTTTGATTCTGGTGGCACGTACACCCACAACCGTTGATTCTGGTGGTTGAGACCCAACAGTACTTGATGCTGGTGACTGATACCCATAAGAAGAAGATGATGAAGAGTCAATGTGTGTTGCTTCGAATGACACGTTCGTGTCAGCATCCCGGCTGTCATTTTGTTGGCGTAGTGAATTCGTTGAAAGTAGAGGAGTAGCATGAAGTTGACTAGTATCGAGGTTGTTACGGTTTGTTTGACCAGTGTCCTCTGGTGTAGTACTATGGCACCAGAGTGCCCAAGTATAGACCATCTATCATTGTGCTAGGTGTTACAGTTTACTGTATCACATTCCCAACACTTCCTATCACTTTGACGTCTTTGGCCCAGTCCGCATCTGAGTAAACTAGCAGATCGGCACCACCAAGACTTAGTCGGTATTCACGAGTACCTTTTACATAGCTAAGGATATGGATGATACCAGCCCAATGATACTGGGTAGGATTAGATGAGTACTTGGCCAGAATTGAGACAGCAGTCATTAAGTCTGGTCGAGTGCACCGTGCTAAATAGAGCAGCATTCCAATCGCCTTTTGATATTTAGGCTTGTCACAAGGTGGTGAGTCTGGTTGTGGAGTATCATATCCTGGTGCTAGAGGTGTCGGTTGGGCATTACAATCAGTCATTCCAAATGCCCCGAGAATGTCGTCAACATATTTGACTTGAGACATGTAGATTTGATTCTTCTTTTAGTCACGTTCGAGGTTGATGTTCAGAAACCATACAAGGTCCCCTCCCTTCTTAAAACGAAACGATGACTCCAAGGATGACTCTAGTTCAGCAATTGCTTCTGCAGAAGACGATGCGATCAAAAAGTCATCAACATGTACTAGGACATAGATGTCTTGACCATGACTAGACTTGCCAACATACAGACACGGATCACCATTAGACGGCAAAAGACCATGTTCCAACATCCAAGAGGATAGCAGCTGAAACCATACACGAGGAGCTTGACAAAGGCCATACAGTGATTTGTGAGACGATCTACTTTTGTTTGCCTGAACGTGAACTCTATGTAGATAATAGTGTAGGAATATAAATCAAGTTTATTAAATCCGGAGCCTTAAAATTAGTCGAAATCCAATTTTAAACTCGTCAGAACGTCCTTCTCTCTCTCATCGTTCAACGGTTGTTG